TGATTTACCCCATCTTATAAATTTTGATGCTGTGAAGAAGTATTATGCTTAAAAAAAGAAAAAAAGAAAAAAATGAAAATGAAAAATGAAGACTCAAGGCGAAAACCCTAAAAGGGCGATTTAAGTTATAAGGGGTTTATCTAAGTTGAAAACCTGAAAAGGTAGCTTAGATAAAGAGAATACAACATCAAATCTAAAAATTTATTAGCATAAAGGCTAGCAAATTCGAAGGAGCTCTAAGTTTGTTAAGTGCATCAGATGGTCGAATTTTTAGAAGAACCTTGAGTTATGTTATCATGATTGTCCGATTATTCATTTTTGGGCATTGTCTCCCCATAACTATCTTTATAATTCCTTCTTAACCAAAGTTTGACACATTTTTTTCTAATAAAAGACATTCTTCTTCATTCTTTGTGTGCCTCTTTTGTTGATTATTTCCTAACCATTCCTATTATTTTCTCATTAATACCTTGCAATGGAAGAAATGTGTGAATACATTCTTACTTTTTGATATTGAAATAATGATTGATAAATAAATAATAACATGAAAGATTTTTACATTACATTAGAAATGTTAGGAGTGATAAAGGCAATTTGAGATATTCAGTTCTTGATAAATACATTGAATTTGGAAAGAGATTGCTTACAGAAAGGATATAAGAATTAAATGAAAGAGATGATTAAGAGTTACGCTGACTTGGTCTTTGAAGAACAAAAGGTTCAAGGCCCAAGAAAAGAGTTTAAGAAACTTGAGTACCACAATTGAATAAAAATTAATTAGCCAACATTTGCATAGCATGCATTGGATTTCATGCGCATTGCTTAACATATACTACATCAAGAAAGCCTTATAGGCATAAACTCAAGAGAGCCAGGGGTATTTCAGGAATCCCATTATGGAGAAGACGAGATGTTGAAATTTTTTGTTTTTAAATTTTCGTTTGAGAAAAGCTTATGAGGTAAGTTTTCCTAATCCTTGAGAAAAATTGATATCTTTTAGGTTATTCAGAACGATTTGTTAGACCCTTTTGGACATAACTCCTTAAGAGTTCCTTCCAAACAAGATTTTTTACTCTTCTGGACGTGATTGTCAAGGAGCCATTTACTTTCAAAGTTCGTTACCTCTGTTTAGAGGAGTTATTTATTTTTCAAAGTTGTTGAGCCTCTGTTTAGAGGAGCAATTTATTTTCCAAAGTTGTGGTGCCTCTGTTTAGAGGAGCAATTTACTTTTAAAAGCTGTGATGCTTCTGTTTAGAGGAGTTATTTATTTCTTCAAAAGTTGTTAAGCCTTTGATTAGAGGAGCTTTGTTTATTTTTCTCAAAGTTGTTGAGCCTTTGTTTAGAGGAGCAATTTATTTTTCAAAGTTGTGGTGCCTTTGTTTAGAAGAGCAATTTACTTTCAAAAGTTGTATTGCCTCTGTCTAGAGTAGCTTTATTTATTTCTTTAAAAATTGTTAAGCCTCTGATTAGAGGAGCTTTGTTTATTTTTCTTAAAGTTGTTGAGTCTCTGTTTACGGGAGCAATTTATTTTTCAAAGTTATGATGCCTCTGTTTAAAAGAGCAATTTACTTTCAAAAGTTGTATTACCTCTGTCTAGATGAGCTTTATTTATTTTTTCAAAAGTTGAGCCTCTGTTTAGAGGAGCTTTGTTTACTTTTCAAAGTCATTGAGCCTCTACCTAGAGAGTAATTTTCTTTTCAAAAGTCGTTGAGTCTCTATTTAGAGGAGCTTTATTTTTCAAAAGTCGTTGAACCTCTTCCTAGAGGAACTTTGTTTATTTTACTCAAAGTCGTTGAGCCTCTACCTAGAAGAGTTTTAATCAAAAGTTTAACTAAAAAACAACAAAAAAAAAAAAACAAAACAAAAAAAGTGTTGAGAAGAGTCTTGAATGGGTGTCTATGTCTTTGCACAATTTCTGTTTCATAGAAAATATGTAAAGAGAGGCAGCTGTAGACACTCAATTTGATCTAGGCTCGGATCAATTGAGCTTGGTCCAAATGGGTATTATGGGCTCATTTTCCTTTTCCTTTTAATTTAATTTAATTTAAATTAATTTAAATTTTATTATTTTTCATTATTATTATGATTATTATTATTATTATTTATCTATTAATATTTTTTATCTATTATTATTTTATTATTATTATTTTCTTTTAGTTATCTGTTAATATATTTATCTATTATTTTTATTATTATTTTTTCTTGATAAATTTTTGGTTGGGATTAGGATTAGGATCATAAAAAAAATTGGAATGAATTTGGCCGTGAATTTGGGAATTGGCAAAGTTGGGATTTGATTCAAAGTTTGAATCCCAATCCCAGATGAAATTGAGACTGATCAAAAACTCTTCTAATCAATCCCTATAAATAGATATTGAAGTAGAACCTAAGGACACATAGAGGAGAACAGAAAGAAAATAGAAGCAAAAAAAAATTCGAAGGCGGCTTTAGAATTTTTAGAAAACTTTTTGGAGATTTTAGCATTTTTTTTCTGAAAAATTTTCAGATTCCGATGAATTTTTCGGCGAAACTTAAATTTTGCGACGAAGTTTTCGGTCAACTTTAAAGTTTCCAACGTGTTTTTCCTGATTTTGATAGAACATTCAACTGAAATCTAAAATTGTTTAGAGAGAAAGAGGATAAAAGAAGGGAAGAGAGAGAAAATGAGAGGGGAAATATGAAGAAAGATCGAGTTTTAACCTTATATACCCTCTCCAATACGACGTCGTTTTTACGTTAGTAAACCCAGAGGATCCACGCGTTTTGCCAAGATCCGACTCGACCCGTAACGCACCCGAACCAACGACCTGCTTCTTCGCCTAGATTCTAATCGAGCCGAGCCGTTTCCTGTTGAGCTGCACATTTGAGTCGATTTTATCTCTCAAGCTGAGCCGAATCCAAGCCAAGCCGAGCCATTCTAAGATTTTTTTTAATTAATTAATTAATATTATTATTATTATTATTTAGAATTATTTGGTATTTCTTACTATTTTATTTTATTATTTTATTATTTATTTTTTAATGATTTTTCTAAAATAAAATTAAAAAAAATGTTTTTGAAGGAAAAGTTGAAAGTATCAATTTTCCTTAAAAAAATAAAATAAAATTTCTAAAATAAAAATTTCCAAAAGCATTTTGGAAAAAATTAAAAGTATCAATTTTTCTTGAAGATAAAAAGATTTAAAAAATATTTTTAGGAAAAAGTTGAAAGTATTAATTTTTTTTTGAAATTAAACTAAAAAAATATTTTGAGAAAAAGTTGAAAGTACCAATTTTCTTTAAAAGTAAAATAAAATTTTTTAAGAAAAAGTTAAAAAGTATCAATTTTCTTTATGCAAAAGTAATGCGTTTTTTTAAAAGTGAAAAGAAAAGGATTTATATATAAAGTTGAATTTTTATTTCTTTTCCTTTTCTTTCTTGAAAAAATTTTTAATGTTAAATAATCCGACGACGGAGTCTTTGCAAGTGAAATAATAGTTTTTTTACATATTCTTGAGGTGAGGGAATTTTCTTAATTTTCTGTCAAAAGTATTGGAGTTAATTAAAATAATTTTCAATAATTAATTACTTGGTAAAATTTTTAAGACTTATTGGATAACACAAAATTAAGTTCTTTCGATGGGCATTGTGAGGGTACTATAACCTTCCTCATACGTAACCGTACTCCCAAACCCTGTTCTGGTTAATGGACCTGAACTTATTTTTTTAGGGACCCTTAGTCAAGCTTAGTTGTTTCGTGAAATGATAAATTCTTTAAGTGACCAATCGCACCTGAACAAAAAAGATTGGTGGTGACTCCTAATATCAATATCTAGTGATAAATCCCCGGATTTAAATGTTATGACAAAGACGTTATTAAAATTTTATCAAAGATTATCAAAATTATATAAATAGTTACCAAAATTATATCATAAGTTGCTAAATTAATATGGAATGTTACCAAATTTGTATTGAAAGTTATCAAAATTTTATCAAAAATTTTTTAAATTAAAATTATATAAAAAATTATCAAATTTTATTAAAAGTATAAAAAATACAAATTAAATTGTTAGTATTTATTATTATTTTTAAAAATATAAAAGTTATCAAATTTTACTTATATTATACCCAAATCAAAATTAAAGTATTGATATTTATAATTATCATTATCATAGCATCCAAAATATTATTTATTGAGATGAATTTTTAAAAATAAAAATTACACGTGCATCATCATACATGTGTATAAAATTAATATATATATATATATATATATATATATATAGATAATGCACACCTTTGCATAAAATTTACGTTACATCGTTAATTTTGAAATATTTGATTCTTCATATTTAGTTTATCATTGAACTCATTAAGGATGCCTTAATGGGCAGAATATTTTAAATTCTCAATTATTAGATATTCTATTTTTGAAATTAAAAATGGTGGGTCGACTTTAATTTTCTATATAAACCTAATACCTTTTGAGAAAAAAAAAAAGAAAGAAAGAAAAACTTATAATCATTAAAAATAATCATTTTAGTTTAATTAAAAAAAGTTAAAGGTACAGGCTCCCTAATTTTTTCCATCAAGTGAAAAGACAGTAATACCCATATCAACTTGTTGCCCTTAATTTCCAAAAAGGTCAATAAAAAATTAACCAACCTACCCACAAATATATATATTTTTTTCCAAATGCATCCCACAACTTGTCATTAAATTATTTACAGTCTGTAAATTTCAGCTCAAAGGACAATAATGCCCTTCCTAATAATGCATATTATCATGCACTTCATGGTAATTACGTCACTTGAAAATCCCCATTAAAAACCGGCGGTTCATGTTAAAATTTTTGCACTGCCTATCTCGACTCTCCTCCCCCGGTCCATCGTGTTTCCTACATCTCGCTGAAACTCCGGCTCTCGGCTCTCGGCTCTGAAACAACTTCAACGTACTTGAAGGGAATTCAGATCCCATAACCCTTGGTAATTCTTTTTGTCTACGTTGCCTCCTTGTACATTTGTTTTTATGTTTTACATATCAGTTCATTAGATTCAAGTACCTAAGAATGTTGGAATGAGGCTTTAATGTCAACTTCCACGAGGCTCTTCCAAGTGGGGATTGTGGTTTTTGCTTGAAATTTTGTGTTTCTATGAAGAAATTTTCGCTTAGATATGTTTCTTTTACTTTTTGGTATTACTGTTTACGTGTCAGTTTGAAAGTTCAGTTTAGGGTTGATAAGTGGCATTTCTTATACGATTTTTGCTTTGTCATGCATACATGTGAGTGCATGTCTTTCTTTGTTGTGCTCGGGATGAAATTTGATTGAAAATTATAATTTATTCAGTTTAAAAAACAGACATGAAACCCTATAGTTTATAGTTGTTTAATGGTAACTATGTGAGTGGATATGTCTTTTGCATTAAGTTTCAGCACTTTTGGTAATTTTTAACCTTTTTTTTTTGTTGATTCTGTATGTTATGGTGATTGGATATTTTGATCGGAATTTGCATCAATTTTGACATTTTGAATTAAACCGTATAGTCAGATGTTGTCACAATGCATGTTTTCTTTCCTTCTACAGCCAATTTCATGGTTGTTCTGGGTTTATTTACTGCATCATTGATCCAATTAGTTCTTTTTGGGGTGACTTATCACTTTCAGATTAAACTACGCGGTGGTTCCATTAACTCTATTGTTTTTTTGCCATGATCTGAATGACTTTTCTTCTTGAACCGTTTTCTTCGTCTTCCTGTAGTGTTTGCTGCAGAAGCTCCGTCCTTTAGATTATTTTGTCTTTTCACTGTTAACTGTGCTAGCTAAAGGTGGCTGTGTTTATTGAACTAGCTTGTGTAGTCACGATCCTTGAGGTATAACATTCTTCTGAATTATGGTCCCTGCTTTTGGCTCCACGTGTGTGCCAATTTTATGCATTGCTTTATTGAAGTCTTTTAATTTAATGAACAAAGAGACAAGCAAGATGAATGACCATTTTATGCTAATTTGTGGTTGTCTTTTTCTTTCCTTTTGTGTTTGTGTGTGGGTTGGGGGGGGGGGGGGGGAATTATTCTTTTTCTCAATTTCATCTTACTCGTGTTTTATGTTTTAAATAGACCATGTGAAACACGTTTTAAATAGGCCGTGTGTATGCTCTATTTTTTTTCTAGCTGGAACTTTTCCTATATGGAAGGTACTTAGATCGTGAATGAAAAATTGTTTATAGAAGTAGATTTAAAGAAACTATGTGCTGCTTAAATCCATGTCGGTTGAATTCATTGCCAAATTATGCATCTTCATTGTTTATCCTCACTCATAAATATTGCACTTTGTGCCCCTATGGATTTTTGTCTATGTTGAAATAATTTTGTTATCTAGAGTGTGGCAGGCTCGTCATATGGTTTTTCACGTTGTGTGACGACCCATTCTTTTTCATCCGTGACAGTGCAACTGTGGATTGGCAATAGCTAAGAGTGAATATCTCTTGTGCACTAAGGAAGATAATCAAGTTAGATGTAGTTAATTGCATAATGTCCTGTGGATAATAAAACTTCCACATTCTTTACGTATCATAATTATGGGGACTAGTTGTTTAGCCCTTTCTTGGCATTTCAGAGATAAATTTGAAATGCCATTTCATTGCGTCAACACAATGCTATATTATCAGAAAATTTTGACACAAACTAACAGAAGAGTAATTTTAATCCTAAAAAAGCCACTAAACTTTGAATTAAAAAAAATTGGATTAGGATTTTATCATCGAAATCTAAAAAAAAAAAAGAATTTGAATATCTAATTTTATTCTTGGTGAAAAGTTACTGACAAAGTAATCGTCTGGAAGAAGTTAATTTGGCATTTAAAATAATCTGGAGCTAGTTCTTTATCTAGATGTATTTCCAATATAGTTATTTACGGAATGTTATTCATTTCGTTCGTTAACTTTCTTTCTGATCTTTTCTTAAAAGTGGTATCTTCTTCAAGTTCATTCCATATGGATGAAGCTATGTTAAATGCTACCTGATTGTGACCCAGATCTTGAACATTATGCAGTTTCCCTGTACCCTCTGTACTTCAAACATATTCTTCATTCTTCTGTCTTTGTAGTTATTAAGTTGCCCATTACCAGCTAGATACCGCAAGCTGATAATTATTACTTAAACATGATCCAGATTGTTAGAATCATTATTAATAAGCTGAAGAGAGAAAGGATCTTGATAGGATACTGAGGACTTCTTTGGCCTTGCCTTATGATTGGAAATTGCAATTGAGAGCAAACTCTCTACAATCATAAAGCAGGTAGTAACCTGGTTATGCAATGAGAGCAAATTCATCATGATAAGAATCTTTGACTGGAAATTTTGCCTTATTTGTCATTTTGCTTGTGGTAAAATTTAGTAGTTCGCCTGGTGGAATAACGATTATCTTTTGCATGGCAGTTGACTTGAATGCTATATCCATTTTTTTTAATTTATTCTAGTAACTGCTATTTTTTTTTTTGTTGATCTACCTAGATTTCCTTTGTTATATACTTTGTGCAAGTGTTTGGTACTGCAAGATTTATAAAGTAAATACAATAATCAATTGTTTTAGATTATGCTTTGTGGTAGTTGTTTTTATAACGTCTCAATAATATAAATGGCAAAAAAACCACTGTCTCTTCTATTTCTTCTGTAATGTTGGAATAAGGTCTATGTTTCTTTTAGCATTGCACTGGATTGATGTTTTCTTCTTATGAATTTTAGTAATTTTTGTTTTTATTGTTTAATTCATTCCTTCATTTCACAAGTGAATGCTAGTCTTGGTACTTTAAAGTCTTTAAAATACATGTATTTTGTCTTTCTTGCAGAAGATGAGTAGCTTGGTTGAGAGGCTTCGGGTTAGATCAGATCGAAAGCCAATTTATAGTCTGGATGAATCAGATGATGATGCCGATTTTGTGTCTGGAAAATCTGGTAAAACTGAGATGTTAGAAAGGATAGTCAGGACTGATGCGGTCAGTTTTCTCTTTTTCTTCTGTAATATTTGTTTTTATGTTTCTGATACAACTATTGCCTCTAAATAAGATGCCTATTCTTCCTTTCCTTTTTGTATCACATTTAATCTTTATATATACTTTGTGTTGTGAAAAATACTGAAGGTCAATTGCAGAGAACAATGTTGGCATTATCTTTCATTCTTTTGTTTTATGTTTTTGTTCTTCTTAATTTAGATATGGGACGTTCAAATGGTTCTTGCTAATTTAGTTTTACTTTCAATTTACCATGTTTTAATGATTAAAATCACAGAAAGAAAACTCGTGCCAAGCCTGTGGAGAGAGTGAGAATCTCTTGAGTTGCGAAACATGTACTTATGCGTACCACCTAAAGTGTTTACTTCCCCCATTAAAAGCTGCTCCACCTCCTGACAACTGGAGATGCCCTGAATGCGTACGATTCGATAGTACTTTGCGATATAGTGAACACATTTCTTGGATAATTTTGATAGTTTGCGGCAGCTGAGAATTATCTTTTTGCTCTTGTAGGTTAGCCCTCTGAATGATATTGACAAGATATTGGATTGTGAAATGCGTCCTACTGTGGCTGATGATAATGATGCTTCCAAGCTGGGTTCAAAACAAATATTTGTGAAACAGTATCTTGTGAAGTGGAAAGGATTATCTTATTTGCATTGCACTTGGTAATTTTATGGTTAATTGCATTTATGATATTTTTTAAGCAAACATTGACTATATAGCTACTCGATTGTGTTAGGGTACCTGAGAAGGAGTTCCTAAAAGCTTTCAAGTCCAATCCTCGTTTAAGGACCAAGGTGAACAACTTCCATCGACAAATGACATCAAACAATAGCTCTGAAGATGACTTTGTTGCCATTAGACCTGAGTGGACAACAGTTGATCGAATTCTTGCTTGCAGGTTCACCTATATAAAACTTTCTTTTTAATATATATAAGTTATATGTTCTCAATTTTGATCATTTGATTTTGATTTGGATGATAGTTTCATTTGGAAGTATATATATATATCTAAGTTGTACGTCCTTGATTTTGATCATTTGATTTTGATTTGGAATAATGTTTCACTTTGAAGGTTCTCTACTGGTTGGGTCTCTCTCACTCTCTCTTTTGGTTTTTTTTGTTTTGTTTTTTGTTTGTGTTCTTATTTTTGGTTTGATTTTATTATTTTTGCCTGGGGGGGTATAAATGGCATCATTAATTTAAAAATACTAAGAGCTTGCAGAAAAAAAAGTGTGATTTTATCTTTTAGTTAAAGTTGGAACATGCAGACATACAATAATCATTCTCTCTTATTCAACATCACCTGAGTTCTGGGCAGTGTTATACTTTACTGTTTGCAGATCTGGATTGGTGTTTTTATGTGCTTTTTTCAGCATCGGTTGCTGGTTCAATAGCTTACATAGAAGTCTGATAAGCATACTAAATTTTTTAGGGGAGATGATGATGATGAGGAGTACCTTGTGAAGTATAAAGAACTTCCTTATGATGAATGTTATTGGGAGTTCGAATCAGACATATCTGCATTTCAACCTGAAATTGAGAGATTTAATAAAATTCAGTCCAAATCTCATAAATCTTCTGCTAGTAAGCAAAAAAGCAGCCTTCGAGATGCTTTTGAGTCCAAGAAAAAATCAAAGGAATTTCAACAGTATGAACATAGTCCTGACTTTCTTTTTGGAGGTACATTCTGATTTTTCCCTTGCAATCTGGAACTTTTCTGAGTATGCTTACACATAATTTGGTAATTATTAATTGCTGACATCATTTTCATGGAATTCTAGGCTCTTTGCATCCTTACCAACTTGAAGGGCTGAACTTCTTGCGTTTTTCTTGGTCCAAACAAACACATGTAATTCTTGCTGATGAGATGGGCCTTGGTAAGTCCTGTTTGAAGAGAGGTTGCTTTTTGAAGGAGTTTGAGTAGTTTATATCTTGATAATGGGGTTGCAAATGCTTTGATTTTGTTGGTTGCAGGTAAAACCATCCAGAGTATTGCTTTTTTAGCATCTCTTTTTGAAGAGAATGTTGCTCCTCATTTGGTAGTGGCACCACTTTCAACATTACGGAACTGGGAACGGGAGTTTGCAACATGGGCTCCTCAAATGAATGTTGTATGTACATGAAAAATATCAAATTGTTAGTTTTGGTTGCCAATATATGCTATTGTAATTGAGGGTACACATGATGCAGGTTATGTATGTTGGCTCTGCCCAAGCCCGTGCAGTTATAAGGGAATATGAATTTTATCATCCTAGAAGTCATAAAAAGATCAGGAAAAAGAAATCTGGTCAAATTGTTAGTGAAAGCAAGCAAGATAGGATAAAGTTTGATGTCCTGTTAACATCATATGAGATGATTAACTTGGACACAGCATCATTGAAGCCAATAAAGTGGGAGTGCATGGTGAAATTTTGTTGCTCATTGAATCTGTTTGGTAGTTTGTAAGTGAGTTTTTGCTAATTCTAGCATCATTTTGTAGATCGTTGATGAAGGTCATCGGCTCAAGAATAAGGATTCAAAGTTGTTTCTTTCATTGAAGCAGTATACCAGTTACCACCGCACTCTTTTGACTGGAACTCCTCTTCAGGTTTATTCTTTGTTTTTGGTATTATATTGGAGATAGTGAAAATCATCACAAATATCATTAAAATTTCAGATACCTAGATTTGGATGACACTTTGCCATGCTTGTTCAATGAATTATGAATATGCTGTCCAGCATTGGCCCAATTATGTTGCATGTTAGTCCTTTCATCCCATGTTTTGCAACATGCTTTCTTTTTGGTGTCTCAAGATTAACACTGCTCTCCAAGTTTTCATAATTTAAGTCTTTCAGTTCTTTATTTACTCTTTGTTATTTTTTGTTACCTTTTTACCTAAATAGCCATTAAATTTTTATTTGAGATAAAATTTTCAAAATTTAAAATTTCAGTGTTAACAAATAAAGTCAAGCAGTATATGTCACTTCTTTTAAGAACTGGCACTAACCTATGTACTTAACGATATGCATTCATGTCTTGTGTCTTTAACTAAAGTGGAAACTTGTTTAGGAATAAAACGCTCATTTCTAGAAGTGTATTAGTTAATGTCTTGTTTATATTCTCCTAGGTCATCAATTCTTTCCCAAGGATGAAAGAAGGCTACCCAGTTTGAGTTCTGGTTCTAGCTTTCTGTTTGCTGATTCTTAACATTTTATAATTACTCCAGTTTGTCATCTGTTTTGTCTCAGAATAGTAAATTTTAATTTAATTAGATTTTTGTATGGTATTACGATTTATGACTTGTGGCTATTTGTTTTGTTTTAGAACAATCTGGATGAACTTTTCATGCTAATGCACTTCCTTGATGCCGGAAAGGTTAGTATCATGTTAGTTCTGTGGAATATGGATTATTAATCAAGAAGGGTTGCTGGAAGATTTTATAAGGCTTTATTTTGTTCACCTACTTGCAGTTTGGAAGTTTAGAGGAGTTCCAGGAAGAATTTAAGGATATCAGTCAGGAGGAGCAGATTTCTAGACTTCATAAAATGTTGGCCCCACATCTCCTTAGAAGTATAAATCTTAAACCTTTCCTGAGGATCTTATGTATTATTTTGCTTGCTTAGTGGCATGCTTCTCCTTCTTATGAACAAAATGTTGTCTAACTGGTAGTGGCTTTGATTTCAATACCACCATATCCTGTGGACAACTTGCATGGTACTTCAACACCTGTTCCTGTAAAGCAATGCAGGCTATTTCGCATTGGCTTTCTTTTCGTTTGATTCAATGGGCTTTGTCTTATTGGGAAAGAATATTTATATTCTTTTGGGCTTGCTAAAGCTATAGTTCTTGGATCCGTATTTTGTTTATTTACTGGTTCAATTTACAATCTTGCTGAAAAACTAGTTGCAAATTATTTATGAATGCAGGGGTGAAGAAGGATGTCATGAAGGAACTTCCTCCCAAGAAGGAACTCATTTTACGTGTTGAATTAAGTAGCAAGCAGAAAGAATATTACAAGGCGATTTTGACTCGTAACTATCAAATACTTACCCGACGTGGTGGTCCACAAGTAAGCTCACATGTTTCGAAATAAGCTTCTTCTCTCCCCCCAGCCACTGTTTTGCCAGGGCAGGTTGCCCTACTACTTAGCTGACATATGTTTTTCCCTGGTTAGATATCTCTAATCAATGTGGTTATGGAGTTGCGAAAACTATGTTGTCATCCTTATATGTTGGAAGGGGTTGAACCAGATATTGAAGATGCAAATGAGGCTTACAAGTAAAGTTATATGCTTATTTTTCTGCTAAAATTTCAATATTTTAACTTTGTTTTTTTTTTTGTTATAATGGGAATTGTTTATCTTGACCTACTGTTGAAAGTATTCTTCTGTATGCTATATATCTCCTTTAGACTTTTAGTGATCTAAAATTATGTACTGATCTACTTCTACCTTTTCTTTATGGCTTTACAGACAGCTCTTGGAATCATCTGGAAAATTGCAACTGTTGGACAAGATGATGGTAAAGCTTAAAGAGCAGGGACATAGAGTTCTTATATATTCACAATTCCAGCACATGTTGGACTTACTGGAGGATTACTGTACTTACAAGGTGTTAATGTGATGCTGTTTCTGTTTACATCCTTCTGCATTAACATGAAGTTTTTATGCTGAAATGGTTGGTTCACAGACATGTGGAAAAATTTTACTTATTATGTTGTTTTATTTTCAGAACTGGCAGTATGAACGTATAGATGGAAAGGTTGGTGGAGCTGAGAGGCAGATACGCATAGATCGGTTTAATGCCAAAAACTCTTCCCGGTTTTGTTTTTTGCTTTCTACCAGAGCTGGTGGCTTGGGTATAAATCTTGCTACTGCAGATACGGTTATCATTTACGATAGGTCAAACAATTACCCTCTTATATATCCTTTCCATTTTCTGTTTCCACTTTTTCTGTTTGTAGTGGGAGATTTATATGATGGAATGTTTTCTTTCATGGTAGTTGATTGTTTAGTCTTAAGCTTTATTTGATTGAGTAGGGTAAATCTTGATTGCGGGGTAAGACGAACTGCTTTTGGATTGAATGATATTCTGCTAAAATGGAAGGACTGAATTCCCAAAATTAATGTAGAAGTTTTAGTAATTGAGCAAGTTGCATATTGCGTTGTGGTCACTAGAGCGAATGTTGTAAGGACCAGAAACCTAATATTGCCTATACAATACCTAGTGGCCGCATATTAGGTTTCTGCTATTGTAGAGTGAATGATATAAGGATTTAAAATTACAATATTGCTAGCTTAATAAATGAACTATTGCTAGTTTGTATGTTTTCCCTGTATGATATTGAAACCTTAATGACTTCAAAGTTTTGTTTGCTTGTTTATTTATTATTGTAAATTTTTTATTACTAGATATTCAGATTGTACATGTTCCCCTACTTTGTTTTTGGTTCACTTAGTGAAAATATGTGTCATTCTCCATAGTGATTGGAATCCCCACGCTGATTTACAAGCAATGGCTAGAGCTCATCGGCTCGGGCAAACGAACAAGGTTAAAGTTGATTCCTTGTTTTATATAAGGCAAGCCTTTCTCTCCCCCTCCCCCCCCTCCCTTTATGTTTTCTGATGAGGAGTATTATCTGTGTTATAGGTGATGATTTATCGGCTCATAACTCGAGGATCCATAGAAGAAAGGATGATGCAGATGACCAAGAAGAAAATGGTTTTGGAGCATCTTGTTGTTGGGAGGCTAAAGGCTCAAAATATTAATCAGGTATTGTAGATTTTTGACATAATGGTGATTGAGAAAGATTTGGAAATTAACTAAGTTGTGGGCTAGGAATGAGCATGGAATGATTACATGGTTTAGAAGGATATAACTTACCAGGCTTATAAATGAGTATATTTGTATATTATTATGTTGGAATAAGATGGGGTTTAGAAGCAAAACTTAAAGAATCCTAAATGAATAAATTGCCGGAGAACAACACTAGGTTAAAACTCAATATGAAAGGAGATTGTCATTTGAGCAATCCCTACCAATGATGTGAATGCATTTTTCCTGGGCTGTCCTTGCCAATTGTCCGTGCATTGTCAATAAACCAAAACAGTGTGTTGTGACTTCTCGAAACTCCAATATAGTGTGTTTCTCATGCTTGTGCTCATGAATGAAAGTAAGTTGTTTGGTTTCTACTGGGAGATGTTGGGTTAGAGTAAGGTTTTATTGTCAGATCTTGCTTCCTCTCCAAAAAGAAGAAATACAATCATGTGGCTGAAAATGTAATTGGTTGTTATTTACTTTAGGAGGAGTTGGATGACATCATCAGATATGGCTCAAAAGAACTATTTGCTGATGAGAATGATGAAGCAGGAAAGTCTCGTCAAATTCATTATGATGATGCTGCTATTGATAGGTATTCTATTTTTCTCTCTTGTTGCTGTGATTTGATTTGATGTATGCCTCTGCAGCTTAAAAGTTTAATTCCTGTTTTTTTTACCTTTTGATAGATTACTTGATCGTGAACAAGTTGGCGATGAAGAGGCCTCAGTGGATGATGAAGAGGAGGATGGATTTTTGAAGGCCTTTAAGGTTTGTCTATCTTTTTATCTTAAATTGCTTAATTTAGCTATTACTTATCAGCTATGCTTCCTTCTTCTTACTGGTTGATCAACTAACTTGGCTTGAATAAGTGACTATATAGGCTTAAAATAAATATGACCTGATACATGTTGCTAATTGAATTGTTTTTGAAATTCTCATCATTAAAATTCCAAATCTAGCACATCTAAAATGAACATTTTTGGAAGAAAGAGTTTTCTTCTAGGTGTCTCCCTGGTACATATATTGGTCTGACTTTTTCTGAGTGCCAAAAATTAGTAATTCTGGAACCTGCCTTTACGGAACCTTGTTTTGCAGAATATTTCAATAATAGAATATTCAGTGCAATGATAGTAGATTGGTTTCTTGAGGGTTGTTTTGTGTGGATTGCAGTTGTGAGACTTGCCACCTAATTGTCTAAGATTTTTTACTTTGATGGGACATTCTTTCACTCGGAATAATATTAGTACCCCTAGGTATTAGTCTGCCATATCCAGAAGGCTTTTTATTTCTCCATGGGTTATGTTAGGCAATAGTTAAAATTTTTTTACTTGTAGTACTTGCTTGTAATTGAGAAATTAAACATTGGCAAGCGAAGTCATTTACTGAATTGGGGGCTCGCTGAAATCTGTTGCAATGGCAAAATAGGAGCTGATGTAAGCATTGGATCTTTTGTTTGTTCTTTGTACATAGACCGGTAATAAGAAATGGGTGTGCACTTGGTTTGGATATGTTTGGAATGGAGCATCCATTTTTTGGCCATTTCCATTGAATGATATTTAAAACTTAGGTATAATGTCTGAATTGGATAAAGATTTGAGCAAGTGTGACCTGTCATTAGATAATTGGCTTTCTTGGACAAGCATGATTGGACTGCCAAATGGAGAACTTTATCACATATACTGCTGAGTATATTGTTGGTGTTGCAAGTTTGTTGAATCACATGGATTCATTCACTGCCTTTTGGTTTCTTACTGAAAAGAAATACTGTTATTTGTTGCAGGTAGCTAATTTTGAATTCATTGAGGAAGCAGAAACTGTTGCAGAGGAAGAAGCTCAAAAGGTGGCCGTGGAAAATAAAAATACCATGAACAATTCTGAAAGAACAAGTTACTGGGAAGAGTTGTTGCGAGACAGATATGAAGTTCATAAAGTTGAGGAGTCCAATGCTCTGGGAAAAGGAAAGAGAAACCGTAAGCAGGTATTGTATTATCACCATAACATCGAAACTTGATTGAGGACCTCAGCAGTTGGTTTGTTTAAGGTGCCTCAGCAGTTGTATGGCTTAGCTCAACCCTGCTTATTGATCGTGCTTGTTCCTAATGTTGTGGTGGTACTTATTGATTTCCTAGTGTTATCTTAGGAAGATTTATTTTCTATTCTTTTTGCTAAGGAATTTATCATCTGCCTTCTGAATTTCTTCAGATGGTATCTGTAGAAGAAGATGACCTTGCTGGTTTGGAAGATGTAAGCTCTGATGGTGAGGATGATAACTTTGAAGCTGAATTGACTGATGGTGATACAACTTCCTCTGGAAATCAATCTGGGAGAAAGCCTTACAGGAAGAGAGTTCGTGGTATGTTTTTCCTGTCCTCAAAAGGTGTCGATGCTTCAGTGGCAAGAATATATTAATATGTTTCGATCAACTTTTCAATTTCTAAGTAATTTTGCAGTGGATAACATGGAGCCAATTCCTCTGATGGAAGGTGAAGGGAAGTCATTCAGGGTGCTTGGGTTCAATCAGAGTCAGAGGGCTGCATTTGTACAGATATTGATGAGGTCAGTCCTTCTGTTATAATGTTTTGGGTGCTATTTGATGGGTTATTTCTCTCTTTGTGTGGGTAAACATTATTAACTAGCTTTTACTTGGGACAGTTTTGATTGCTAGAATGTGAAGCTTTGATGGGTTCAATATTCTGAGTCTCATTGTGGTATGTTGATTGGTGTAATTTATTTTACACTTCAGGTTTGGGATTGGGGATTTTGACTGGAAGGAGTTTGCATCTCGCTTAAAACAGAAGACTTATGATGAAATAAAAGAGTATGCAAAGTGACTTTTTCTTATTTGTTTATCTCTTGCGATATCTGTGTATGTATTATAGATATTTTGAACATGTTATACTGAAGTCTTAGCTAGTATTTTACAGGTAGTGACATTTTATGTTCGTTTTCTATTGGGTTTGAATGATCTTTGCACATATGTGATTTGGAGTTTGTAGAAAATACAGCTGTGGAGTTACTAACTTTCTATCATTTGCCTGTGCTGTAGAATGGGTGGTTGTCGGATTCATTCTAACTTGTGCACTTTAAGCCTTTTATATCTCATTCTCTGCTAATGATTGGTTCCAACACTTTTTATCAATCTAATTTCCTTTGTTGCAATTTGCTTGTGCGAATCTTATTCTCCTGCTATGTTTCTTTTACTGCATGTGTATAGTATGAGTGCTCTACATAGTAACTTATAATTACATTTTTTGCTATTGGATTTGAGTGGTATATGTGGCTGGAGTTTGTAGAAAATACAGCTGTTAAGTTTTTAACTTTCTATCTGTTGGGTGTGCTGTAGAATGGATGGTTGTCAGAATTCATGCTATTGTGCGTTCTAAGCCTTTTTTATCTCCTCTTTTACTGATTGGTTCCAAGAGTTTTTATCAATCTTCATTTCCTCTATTGCAATTTGCTTGTGCAAATCTTGTTCTCCTGCTATGTTTCTTTTACTGCATATGTGAGAGCATGAGATAACCAAATAGTCACTTATAGTCCTTTGTTTTTTTTAATCTTATTTTCAGTTATGGTACTCTTTTCCTGACTCATATTGCTGAAGATATAACCGACTCTCCTACATTTTCAGGTGATTGATCAATGCTGCATGGCATTTTTTTTGTTTTCTTTACCTTCAACTTTGGTTTTCCCTTGGTGTTTGACATTCAATCTACAATTTAAATCTTTGTTTGTAGATGGTGTTCCAAAAGAAGGTCTCAGAATTCAAGATGTACTGGTTAGGATAGCTGTCCTGCTTTTAGTAAGCAAGAAGGTGAGTGTTGCCAATTTGGATTTTTGGAGTTTGATTCTTCTCCTTTTCTTTTTATAAATTTCAAAAGTGAAACATAATGTTTCTTGGAGAAATGTTGATTTTCATGTATGATGTAAAATTTCAGATGTTCTTTTGCATTTTAAAGGGTACTTTGGAATAAAGTGTTTTAGGCTACTAAAAAAATAAGGAAAATATAAAAGTAATTTTAGTCAAATTATGATTGGAAATTTACTGTATATATGAAATTAATGGCAAAGATATACCCATAACTTTGAGATTGACCCATTGAATATATTATCTTGTTTTGTCAATATTTGAAAAACAGGTGAAGGATGCATCAGAAAAACCTGGCACCCGCATTTTCACCGATGATATTATCATGCGCTACCCCACATTAAAGGGTGGAAAATTTTGGAAAGAGGAACATGATTTGTTGTTACTGCGTGCTGTTTTAAAGTACGTATCTCTGAGGTTCTGGACATTCACTGCTGCCACCGCATGGCTGCAGTTATATTTTTTATACCTTTTCATTTTTATAGTTAACAATGAAATATTAGTGACTTGGTGATTAGAAAAGTAATGTTTTACGGTCAATATTGTTTGAGGGTCTTTAAGTGTGGAGGTGCATTGTTGGAACCCCATCCTTTTCTGCAATAAATCATGGTCTGCTGACAAATTAGTGGCCAGTTTTTTTGTACTAGTGGAAGTCTAGTGAAGTTGGGGGATCTCATGCTGATACACAGATTGCACTCCAAGGATCCATTTTGTACAACCAATCTATGACTCCAACCTAGTTGACTTTGGATGGACGTTCTCCACCCTAGTGAGCTCTCTGCCTGAGTGACTGCTCTTTATGTGGTGTATTATAGGGAAGTCTTAGATGTAAAAGGAAGTAAAGCATGTGCTATGTACATCAAGTTCGGATCTTTCTATGTCCATGTAATAGGTTATTGGAGGGACCTACATTAGTTCAATTAGCATGCCGGTGCCTGTCTGTTATGTTCCTATGCTAGCTGCTTTTGAATGTCGGTATTGTACTTTTAGTATACGGAGGTCATGAAGGACATATGTCCAAATTATAGAGTGGTAATTTGCATAAAATTTATGATAGGCATGAGTGTCAACAAGTTTTATGCATGATATCTACTCTAATGCAATTGTTATACTGATGAGTCAAGATTTGATTTGTGCATTATATTAATACTTTGTCATATATTAACTTATTTGATTGTTAGGCATGGGTATGGAAGATGGCAGGCTATTGTTGATGATAAAGGCTTGACAATTCAGGAGGTCATTTGTCAAGAGTTGAATCTTCCCTTTATAAATCTTCCTGTTCCAGGGCAAGCTGGTTCTCAAGTGCAAAATGGTGCTAATACAACCAATGTAGAATCAACAGGAAACCAGACTCGGGGAAATGGCTCTGGGAATGATGTAGGAGGTGAGGTTGCCCAAGGAGTTGCTGATGCTGTGAACCAAGCACAACTGTACCAGGATTCTTCCATTTTGTATCATTTTAGAGATATGCAGAGAAGGCAGGTTGAATATATCAAGAAAAGGGTGCTTCTCTTGGAAAAGGGGCTCACTGCAGAGTATCAGAAAGAATATTATGTAAGTTGAACTACTGCTAACAGAAACTGCAATGTTGGCTAAGGGTGTTGTTCTATTGCATATGTAGTGTCATTGGCTGAGATACCTGGTTAGAAGTTCTGGCCTAAGCAATTCTTGGGAACTTTGGCTTATAGTGTTCTATACTGTTTGACTTCCTTTTAATAAGAGGGGAGAAAAATACATCATATTACATGCAAGGACATCCATCTACAGTGAAAAGGGAAGTAAAATAATAAAGGAATGCTACCGAGTCAACAGAAATAGGTTGCTTTTTTTTTATAGGGCAGGTGGAGTTGGTTTGAATGGGGGAACTGTACTCATCCAGCATTATTAATTATACCAGTTTTTTTCACTTCAAGAGCCTGAATGCTGACACATTCCAAGATTCTTATTCAGTGCCTTCGCATATTATCTTATGACAATATGAGCCCAGGCATTAGTGGTGATTTTTACTCCAGTAATGTCCCCCTTTGTGTTTTAATCATTTTCCACATCACTGTTGAACTAATTAGTGATTTGGAATTTTGTTAAGTCATCATTTCTGAATGATAGTTGAACAACATGATAAAAAAGAGTTTGGTTCTTGTTTATGGGGTTTTTGGAATGTGATTTTATATTTGGAGCATTGAAATTTGAGATGGGATCTTGGCCGCATTTGAAATTATTTGAAATGGAAATTAAACCTAGGCTTGTCATTTCTCAGGTACATTAGTAATATCGTACTGGTTAGTTGTGCAATTTCACCTATGGGGGTGTCGTTTGGTAAGTTATAATTTGACTTCTTGAAGCATTGCTGCTGCTGTCTACATTTAAATTCATTATTCAAGCCCTTTTTATCTGTGTTGTTATGTTGCAAAGGTTTTCATAGTTATTACTGTCTTGTAGACAATCCATTTGGTCTAGTTCAATGGTTGGCTGCATAGCTAGAAACTATCTTCTAGTTTTGTAGCTTGAACTCCATGTTACAATGTTAAATCTATGATAAACATGCATATTCTCCATTGCAAAAACTGGTTTTTAGCTGTTGCATGTACATTGAAATTAAATAATGCTTACAGATGCTAGCAGACTTACTGTTTTCTCTTGTCCTTAATTTTGCTCTTAGGGTGAGATGAAAACAAATGAGCTGGCAAGTGAAGAGCAAGAGAATGGACAAAAGGTTGAAGACATGCCAAATGCAAGGTCAACAGAGATCCCTTCCCAAGTGATTGACCACTTACCTCCAACGGAAGTAATTGGTAAGTTGTAATTTCTTGACCATAAAATTGGTTGAGAATAGTTATTACCTATTTACAATTGATCAGACATCATTCTCATATATGAGTACCATTGTCTTAAAGCAGGCGAGTTAAATTCATTACAGGAAGGAGACACTAATTTTTTCCTCTTAACTATAGATAGTTTGCTTTCTGGATTACCAGATAATCATCTCTAGTCTGAAGAGAAATGATTATATATAGTCATAATCTAAAAGGAGGGTAGATAAAAGAAAGAGATAACTAGTCCTCTATCACCTTCTCTTCACCTTATATGATTTCTTTGCGTTGGTCAAAGAGTTGCTGCGAATGGTTGTATGATCTTTTACAGTTCCACAGTTTGCATTGGTGATGACTAGAATTATCCTTGTGCAGCATCTGAAGAAATTTCAGCAGCTGCTTGCAATGATGATGCAGATCGATTGAAATTGCCTCAGCATTACAATAAGGTAAATTGCCTCAGCATTACAATAAGGTACATCATTGTGTTTGAAGGGGCTTGAACAAATAAGATTAAGTGGATAGGATGTTATTGCACTCTTTTTTCAGCATTCTAGCAAATGGAAATTGTGGAAAGTGAGGTCAAGGGCCATGTTTTAATTAACAGGTTTCTTGTTTTTTGTCCAATTTGTTGCAGGTTTGCAAGATATTGGAGGACAACGTTGAAGTTGTTCAGTCAAGGCTGGATTTGAAGAAGAACCTCCATTCTTTGGAAGAAATTTGTGGGGACATATCTTGGATTCTTTCACCCGCACAGCACAATCCTCATACTTCAGAGAAGTCTGCACCTTCACAGAAGGAATCACAGAGCACTGCAGCTGGGTCCATTTCACTACCTAATCAACAGCCTGCCTTTGTGACTGAAATTGAGATGGAGGACGCACCAAGGGAATCTAAACCGGAGAAACCTGCTATTGTGGACGAAATTGGCATAGATTTAACAGGATCTGATCCACTTAAAGATAGCAGCTCAGATTGGCGCCAAGATCCAATAAAAAAAGATAGTAAATTGGCATGTGGTGTTTCTGCTTCAGCGGATTCATCTCAGATTGACTCAAAATGTTTGTCACAAGAGACTAATGGAAATGATGTTGTGACGATGGAAGAAACAGGGAATGAAGACAGCGGCAAATCTGATGCTATGGCTAGTGGAACTGAGAGGGGAAGCACAAAGAAATCTGGAGCGGGAGTCATTGTTTTGGATGATTGAATGCATAGGGTTGATTTATTGAAACTTTCCTTGATTCTCTTTTAATAATCCCGTTAGACATATTTTTAAAGGATTCTTGCTGTTTTTGAAGAAATTGCTTCATTTTCAAAATTCTAGTGTTCTATGAATATTTAATTTGCTTCAATTTTGTTATCTTATAAATCTCACAATCCTCCGTAAAATGTACTTGAAAATTTCAAATTGAAAGTGTTAATGTTAATTTTTTAAGATTAAAAAAAAAAAAAGAATTATAAAATTCTAGGAAAGAAGAACGGAGGATGAAATTGAAAGCAAACAAGATGTGATTTTGTAAGAATAAGTATTAAGATTCTTTGATAGTAATAAAACATAATCACACAAAATCCATATTCTCGTGTTGTTATGTACTTTTGTCTTTTGGTTTTTTGTATTTTTAATTTTGCCTCATGAGATAGGCAACAAAACGGTGGGACCATCCAACTTCAGACAATGTGAATCCTATTATTGAAAAAATGCTGGCCAGTTTTGCATTTCTTCCGACTGCCTAACTTAAAGAAGCAAAGCCAATAAATCAATGGTTTCGGTTTCTTACTGCAGCGAATTAGAAAAATACTAAAAGCTTTGTCTTTGCATGTTGACTTTCAACGGTATCCAATTTGTTTCTTTTACGAAAAATTATTTTCAAAAAAGAATTTTTATATTTTCAGATTTTTTTAGTAAGAAATTAGTTGGTTAATAAAAAATGATTTACGGATTAACAAAAAATACAATTATTTTTCTAAAAATGATCTTATGAATTTAAAAAGAAGACATTTTTCAAAAAAGAGATATATGTGAGTAAAATTATTTATCAATATTTTTTAGTATAATTTTACTTATAAATATTATTATATTAATAAATAAATAATATATTATTAATAAATAATATACTATTAATATAATATATTAATAAATAATATTCTAATAAATTAATAAATAATATTATAATCTATTAACAAATAATATTATATTAATAAATAATATATAAATCAATATTATTATATTAATAAATATTATAATAATATATTAACATATAATTTATTATTAATAAATAATATACTGTTAATATAATATATTAATAAATAATAGTATAATATATTAATAGATAATATAAAGAATAATAAATAGTTTTATTTTAAGTATTTTTATATTAACATAATATTTTAATATTAAATATTATTATTAAAATATAATTATTTTTGAATATTAATAAATTTAATAATAAATAATTTCAACATACTTTAATAATAAATTATTTTAAATATTTAATAAGTTATATTAATATTATTTAAAAATAAATTTTCATAAAATAACCAAATAACAAAAAATATTTTTTATTAATTCATCCAAATAACATAAATTCTTTTTCAATTTAAAAAATATGAATATATTTTTAAAATTATTGTTTAAAAATTATTTTTCGCGAAATAAACAAAGTTATATATGATTTCATTCTTCTCTTTCTTTTCATACTTGGATGTTTCAAGCAAACCAAACGACAGAATAAGTTCTTTCTTACGCTTCCCTCCCACCCAACTTTTCGTCTTTATGTTTTGTTTTTTTATCGCGAATTAATTATTTAGATTTTTGTCGGTAATATTTTATTTTTTACTGCGTTAATGTACACAATTTATACAAAATCTTGAGTAAGTGAAAAATTGGATCAGCCATGTGCATAATGAATAATGAAATAAGTAGTATTATGTATGAAGTCTGAAATTGAAATTGAAATGTAACAATAATTTTACTATGTTGAGTTTTTTTTCCCCCCCCCCAATAACAGTATAATCTAATCTAGGTTTATATTTGGTACATGATGCTCCTAAACCATGTCTACAGCTCTTTTTGTTCAAATAAGGCTCAATTCTAATACGAAGTCCATAATAACAACATAGTAACATGACGATAATTCACTTTTTGTGTAGTTTTTTTTTTTTTTTTTAATTTTAAAAAGCACATATAAAATATTGAATATCCTATATATTAATCTTGTACATTTTGCTTTATATGTGGCATTTCATTTTTTTTCTTTTATTTTTTTTGCTAGGCTCCTTGTTTTTTTTTTTTTAATTTCTTTTTTATTTGGTTTCATTTTTATTTTATTTTATTTTTTAGATAAATTTTGTAATAAAAAAATCAATAAAAATTGAGATGATAAAATAATTCATATTCGATAAATTTTGATTAATTGACCATAATCTAACATAAATAACTTTTTTTTAAATGACTCAAGATTGAGTTGAGATTTTTTTTTTTGTTTTAATCAGAGTTGAATCAGAGACGAGTTTAAGGTATTCCATTCTATCTTAGATATGTATAGAAAAATTTTATTTAAATTTATATTTTTAAATAGGTGTTAATAAAATTATTTAATATCTTAATTTAATAAATTTACATGGTATTGGCAAAAATAAAATAAAATCATGCGGCATCCCTTTTGGTTTCTTTTAATTTTCCTAGTTTTGCTATATCCTTTTTTTTTTTTTTTAATTTTTTAAAATTATATAAATTTTGTAAGAAAAAAAGTCAAAAGAGGTAAAGAGAAAAAAACTATCCATATATAATGGGTTTCAATTTGTATCTATTCAATATGTTTTATTTTTTTTTAAATTCGAGATTAAGTTGATTATTTTTTTTCAAAAATTGAATCTAGATAGGAGGCGAGTTTAGGGTGTTCCAACTCAGGTATATATAAAAATATATATCTTATTTTTTATTTAATTTCATAGTTATATATGTATTATATTAATAAAATTATTATTTAATAGCTTATTTTAATAAAAATTATATTTATATATAATTAAGGTGTAATTTATATTAAAAATAATTTTTTTATAAACATTAAACAAAATTAAAATTATCCAATTAATTTTTTATCAATTCAAATTTAATGCTAATTTTAAACTTTAAAGGTTGTTAAGACTATCCACATGACACCGATTATGTTATTTTTTTCTCTTTTCTTTTAAGTCAAATCAATACCTAAATTTTACTAAAAAAAACCAAGTATAATATCTTTTATTTTCCCTACATGCCACTTTCTTTAAAATCAACAAATTTTTTCTCTTTTTTTTTTTTTCGTTTTTTTCTTTACTTTCTTCCACCATCAAATCAAAACCAAGTAAAACACCTTTTGATTTTGTTTTCACACACAAACAATTCTCCTTCCCGTTTCTTCTCTCTATTCTATTTTCCAACAACAAATCAAATTCATACTTTAAATTTTTGACCAAATGATGACCATTCCTTAAGTTATCCAAATGTTATCTTTTTTTTTTAGATTTAATATCTAAGTATATCTCTCACATTTCACCTTCAAACCTATCTTCTCTCATTCTCCTTCGTGTTTGGTCAGCTTTTATCATTATTTTTTTTATTTGCTCATTCTTTTCTAGCCTTTCTTCTTCCCAACATCAAAACAGAATTTCAATCTTCCATTTCTTTCGTTTTTTTCTCTTCTTTAATTCTTTTCCCATTCAACATTTTTTAAAATCTTGATCATGAGAGAAGTTGAAAAGCATGGTTTGTAGAGAGAGCAACCTTTTTTAAATTTAAATTTATTAATTTACTTTTCTTTATTCTCTAAATTCATTCACGGGACATGATAATTTTTTAGTTAATTTGTTTAATTTTAATCTAATGAATTTTAAGAATTTTTTTGATCGATGAATTGGGAAGATCTGATACCTCATCAAAATGTTCCGTTGGTGATCGAAAATGAAACAAAATGACATTTTTTTAGCCAAGCTTTGTTGTTTTTCTTATTTTTCAATTTCATTAGTTTATTTTTTAAAATTTTTTGCTTTTATCTGTAGCATAAAAAATTCTCAATATTGCACTTGGACTGATTGTTTTTTGAATTTAGAGCACCGTGGGGAAAGATAATTAAGAAGCAATTGAGTTTACATAAATAGTAGGTGTAATTTGTTCTATTCGATATATTTCTTTAATTTTCTCAATTGGTCTATCTACGTAGTGTATCAGTTATCCTTCTTTTAGAATGCAGTAAAATAATAAAATTTTTCATGTTTGTGTGTCAAACATATTCTCTATAGTTGATAGTTTTTTATTAAGTTATAATTGATTATTTCAACTTCAAGCCATTGTTATTAGCTTGAGAAAAAGAATTTTTTCATTGTACGAAGCTAGATATTTTCAATGAATGTCACTTAAAGATTGAGTAATCTAACTTATTTCATTGATTTGTTGAGTGTTCGATGAAGTGTACATGTATTTTTCTGCACCTTCAATCTTCACTTTGTTAAATGCTTTTTTAGTTTAAGGATATGCTGAAGCTTTAGTCATAGGAAAGATAATAGATATGTAGCCAATTGACATGAATGAAAGGATAATTGGTCTTAAGAGGCTCAATCCAGGCTCAATCTAACACCAAAGCCAACAATTTATCCTTTGCATAAGACTTTTATTTATTTATGTAGCTTTCCAAGTCTCCTTTTTTGGAAGGTAAATGGAGCTTTGAGTTATTTGGATCCAAAAGCTCAGGACCTTTTGCTGCTAGAATCATATTTGAGTGAGTTACCTTTGATAGCTAATGGTCTTCAATTTTTGGAATGATTGGCAGCTGATTTTTTTTATGACCTCTTTTTACTTTGCTAGAGATTCCCTACGACATTGGCGAAATTCCTAAGCATCAGCTATCAAATCATAGCATGAAAAGTGTTCTAATTGTTTTAAATAATTCCATTTCCTCGCTTTCTCAATACAACCAGCCTAGACATCTTAATTTTTTTCCTATGTATGTATATTATTACAGAAATTTATAAAAGTTGCAATAATCAAAATTATAGTACTTAGTACTTTTTATAAGCTATATATATGAGTATTTATAACTCTTTATATGTCTCATTCTAAATTGAAATGTTGACAATAGACAAAGTATTGCTTTGATAATTATATTATATAACTTTTCTTATGTTTTGATGCTTGCAGCTTTTGTGTGCTGCCGTCTTCTAGATAATTGTAGTGGTGGAGGTAATGTTTAATTATTTATTTTATGTTGTTTCTATTACTCATTTGCAGCTTTTGAGTTATTAATCATTGATAGTTAGTTTATATTTTTAATGATATGATATTCTCTAAAATAGAATACTAATTGAGTTTACAAATAGACAAAAATAATTGTTTTCCATGTGTCTACTCCTACCTTTATCACT